TGGGTCGTTTTTCCTTTTTCTTTATTTTTTGGGTGATAAGGTGGGAGAATGGACAGAAGTTTATGAAGGGCTAACATTTGCAACGGTGAGAGAGGCAGGTCATGAGGTGCCACTCTTCAAGCCAAGGGCTGCTCTGCGGCTATTCAAATCATTTTTGAGAGGTGAACCTCTTCCAAAGTCTTGATGAAGAAGGACAACAAAGAAAAATGAAAAAAAAATTAATTCTAAGTCTTTGGTATTGAATTGATGTTATTGTTATGAACAAAGAAATTAAATTAAGTTAAGTTAGTAGAGAGAGAGAAAGAGAGGGAAAGAAAGAGTTTGATTTGTGTAATAGGAAAATTAAGAAAATTGGAATGAATCCATTTCTTTGAATGAAATAATTATAGTGGAAACCATTGAAATGATCTCATCACTTTATTCAAACAATTTGGTAATGGAAAACACGGAACGAATTTGTTTTGACTCAATTTGTCCCCCACCTTTTATATAATTAAAGTCTGAATTTTTGAATCCATGTCCAGAAGCTGGGGGCGATAATTGCGAGAACAATATAAAACTGGATGCAACTAAGAAATGTAGCAAATGGCAACTCACATGAACAACTCCATATTTAAAATATGAACTATTCATATTCCTTTTTATTTTTCTTTTCAGTTTTTGCGCATCTCAATTAATTCTTTGGAACCTTAGAACTATTGATCTGGTAAAAATTTCAATGACTATCTGCAACTGAAGAAGGACTCAAGCTTATCAAAATGTTTCTATCAAATCATTAAGAGGTAGTTTATTCAAATTCATCTTTACTAATCTTAATTTGTAAAAATTTAATGTATTTATTTAGAGGACAAATTTAGTCATAAAATCACATTATTTAACTTAATATTAAAAATAATTGGAATGCACTAAACTACCAAACCTAACATGGCCTAACATGTTTTAACTAAACTATTAAAAACTCACCCGTGGGTAGTTATGCACAACCTTTTTGGTTCACTTTTATCGTTGGATCCCATGATTTATCGTTGGATCCCATGATTTACCTGGCTCGGACACCTCAAACAAATCCTATACATTTTAAGAAAAAAATGTGATTATTGAGTTAACTTCATATATCTAACCCCTTAAAACAGTTAAACTATTGATCCCCATGTATTATTCTTTAACATCCTGATTCTATTGGTTACAAAGTCACTGTACTTGATGCAACGATATTGATATTATGGAATCATTTGTTGGGTTATTATTTATTAAAGTCTAATTACAGTGTATTCTCCCCTATAAAATAGTACCAGAATCAAAATCTCAGTCAACACCCATGTAGAAATCAAGAAGAAGTTATCACGGTAAATGGTGACTTTCTTTGTATTTATGCGCGTAGAGGAAAATGGTCAAAGCCACGAGGCCTCCCCAACCCCAAGTGTATCAAAAGGCCATAATCAATAAACAAAGACTAAGAACAGAGGAAGGAGAGAAGTTTCACAGAAACTTAAACGAAGACACTCAAACACGCACAAAGAGAAAGAGAGAGAAAGAAGAAGCTAAGCTATAACCGAGAGAGAAAGCTAACAGCTTAAAAACGATTAATTATCTTCAAAAGCATCCGGGAAAACTGGTCAGTTTCATTAGTACTCTCCGTACAAAGTCTCCTTTTTTATTATTAATANAAAGGCTTAGGAAGCAATTCCATATTCCATCCAAGTAACAACTTGGGCCACACTAAGGGTGGAAAAATTCGATTTTTTGGTTTCGTCTTCGGTTCGGCCTTTTTTTCCAGCCCTAGCCCACACCATTAATTAACCTTACTTTCACGCTGTGGTCGCTTAAAGAGCTAAGTAAAATTACTATTACCCCCTTTATTTTATTCCTCTCTCCTTCCGCCCTTTGGGCTTTAATCTCTCCTTGGATATTAAAGACTTGAATTAAAAGACTTTTCTCCATGCTTCCAAATTTATTCACCAAAAACAAAAACAAACATATAATTAAATTAAATTAGATAACTAACAAAATATATTTAAGGATAATAAATATGGTCTAAAATAGGCCTAACAACATCAGAATTGATCGTCCATTTGAGCGATGGATGATCAATTCTAATGCTGTTGGGCCTCTTTCTAGATTCAATTATAAATAGGGTATCTCTCTTTTTTGATGGTGGTATAGCGTTTGAAACTAAGATAGATAACAGTGTTGTTAATGACTTTAACAATTAGTATACGATATGTCATGTCAAGTAGCGGTTCTCCACAATCCAGTTTCAATTCATGCCTCAGATTAATAAAATTACCACTAACCTTTTCATAATAAAATTTAAGAACTTATGAGAATATTTATGATAGTATACAATAATTATAAAAATTAAATTAAAGTACATAATGATTTGGTGTTTATTGACTATATAACCTGTATAAACGCAAGAGGTTTGATGATCAGCAATATTGTAGATCTTTCAAAGATTTATGGTAGTGTACAGTCTGAACTTTCAACTCTTCCGAAAGGAACCTAGATAGCTGAAACAAGGCTCCCTTTGGTCTTTATCTTTAGGCCACACCCTCGAGATATACACTGGTCTTTATCTTTGACAAACATCAATCTTCATCTGCTTTTTGTTGATCCCACACAAGTTGATAGTGGAATGTATTTTCTATTTTTGTTTGATTCCTCCAATACACGCTAACTAATTTCTTCTTTCACTAATTGACCGTTCTTTCAAACATACAAATGAAGAGTGCTTCCAGTTGTAGGTTCGTCACTATTAGCTGAGATTCTAGTACAGAGATAACTATTTTTTATGCCAGGGTCTATTTGAACTTATGTCTACCACTTAAATTCCGGGGTCTTTATCTCAACTAGTGACCACCACTGATTTTCATACAGGTAAGACATTAGCTAGCAGACTAGCATAGAAAACTCAGTCCATTACTCCACTTGTAGAAGTCAGCATTCAAAGTCTTCCACTTCCATGGAAATAATCTCGATCTCTGGGTCGCTCAAATTTTGAAAATCCTCCATATACACATCCAATTAACATAACTTGGTGAGTTTTAGATGCTAGGATTTTGAATTATATAAGCTGGGAACATACAATTAACATAACATAACTTGGTGAGTTTTAGATGTCCGTAGGAACATATAGGAAACTGAAAACTAAAATGAGTCCTCCACATATTCTAGTTATTCCTTTTCCTGCACAAGGCCATGTAATTCCTTTACTGGAGCTTTCATTATGCTTAGTTAAGCATGTCTTCAGAGTCACATTTGTTAACACAGATCATACTCACAACCGGGTCATCAACGCATTACCGGAAAATTCTATAGGGGATGGAATCCGTCTGGTATCGATTCCAGATGGAATGGAAGCCGGGGAGGATAGAAATGATATGGGGAAGCTATGTGCAGCAATGCCGAAGGTGATGCCGGGGAAGCTGGAGTAGCTCATTGAAGAGATCAACAGAGGGGTGTTTTTGTGATTGTTGATGGGAGTGTTGGATTTGCTCTTGAAGTTGCAGAGAAGATGAAAATTAAGAAGGCTGCCTTTTGGCCTGCATCAGTCGCTACTCTGGCTTTCTTTTACAATATTCCAAAGATGATTGATGATGGAATCATTGACAGTAATGGTAACACGCTCTAACTCGTTTTTACCCTTTTCCATCTTCCGCTGTAAACTTTTTGCAAGTTAAAAGTCACTGAATCACCGTCTTCTTTGTGTACAATTTGTTTCCAGGGACTCCGCTCAAGAAACAAATGATTCAGTTTGCACCCAACATGCCTGAAATCAACAGTATAAACTTTATTTGGGCAAACATTGGTGGCGCCGTAGCCCAAAAGATACTCTTTGACTATTTATGGAAGACCACAGAAGCTGTGAAAGTTGCAGATACCCTTATTGGCAACTCAACCTATGGCTTTGAACCTGGAGCATTCAACTTGGTTCCAAAGATGCTTCCAATAGGACCTCTTTTGGCGAGCAACCGACAAGGAAATTCAACAGGATACTTCTGGCAAGAAGACTCAGCATGCTTGGAATGGCTTGATCAACAACAGCCTAACTCAGTCATTTATGTTGCATTTGGCAGCTTCACAGTTATAGACAAGATCCAATTCCAAGAGCTGGCACTAGGACTTGAACTCTCCAACAAGCCATTCCTGTGGGTTGGTAGGCCAGACATTACTGATGGTGCCAATGAAGCCTTCCCAGATGGGTTTGAAGAAAGGGTAGCCAACCGTGGGAAAATGGTGGGTTGGGCGCCGCAACAGAAGGTTTTGAGTCAGCCTTCCATTGCCTGCTTCTTTAGCCATTGCTGTTGGAATTCAACCATGGAAGGTTTAAGCAGTGGGCTTCCTTTCTTATATATGTTGGCCATACTTTGCTGACCAGTTCATTGATGAGAGCTACATTTGTGATGTTTGGAAGGTGGGATTGCGGTTTAAAAGAGACGAAAGTGGAATCATTACACGAAAAGAAATTAAAAGTAAGATAGATCAAGTGGTTGGTGATGAAAAATTTAAAGAAGAGCTTTAGCACTCAAGAAAACTGCCATAGAACCTATTTTCATGCTCATCCCTAATAATATTCATATTGTCTAACAATTGCTTGCAAGAAAGAAAAATGAACAGTTCATTCCCCAACAGTTCATATTCTAACAATTAAAATGAACAGTTCGCAAAAATTTAAATTTGAATAAATAAACGTTATCTATCTTTGACCTCATTTTTCACCTCCCTCCTTCAGTGTTAATAAAATATAAAATCACAGCTTTGTCAGATTTTGAGGCAGATATCAGGCTATGATCCTTGTACAGAAAAGTATGCCGAGATTTATTACAACAGGCCTGATGTGTAAAAAGCCCTCCATGCTAACATAACCAACATTCCTTATAAGTGGACTGCTTGCAGGTGATCGTAAATACAATATTTAAAAACTGACAGAGAGCTTAAATCAAGAAAGGGTCCTTATTTATTTAACACTTTTTAAATAAATTTCGTGTTATTTGATGACACAGATGTATCAGTTCTTCCAATTTATAGACAAATGATAGCTGGTGGATTGAGAGTTTGGGTTTTCAGGTTGGCAATTATGTATTTACTATAAAATTTCATTTTAGTTCTCCATATATATAGTTATAATTAACCATTTTCTCTTCGAAAATTGCAGTGGAGATGTGGACTCAGTGGTGCCAGTTACTGCAACAAGGTATTCTCTGGCACAACTGAAATTAACAACCAAAATTCCAGGGTATCCTTGGTATGTTAAGAAGCAGGTCAGTAGCTAATTATGCCTACATCTCTTTGATTAATTAATTTGGTCATAACATATATGGCAGGTTACCTGAGTTCTAGGCCTTTACAGAATATTTCAAGAAATTGAATATAAATTGTTTGAATTCAAGGGTCAAACCATGCACGCCCCTATGACTTTTGTAATTCTCAATATAAGGGTCTCCACTATTTGACAATAAGTAAAATTCACCTAAAAATCTTAACGTGTACTTTAAAGACAAATTTGATGATATATATAAATAACAAAAAATGTTTATAATGTATGTTAACGGGTCGTTTTTCTTTTTTCTTTATTTTTTGGTTGATAAGGTGGGAGAATGGACAGAAGTTTATGAAGGGCTAACATTTGCAACGGTGAGAGAGGCAGGTCATGAGGTGCCACTCTTCAAGCCAAGGGCTGCTCTGCAGCTATTCAAATCATTTTGAGAGGTGAACCTCTTCCAAAGTCTTGATGAAGAAGGACAACAATGAAAAATGAAAAAAAAAAATTCATTCTAAGTCTTTGGTATTGAATTGATATTATTGTTATGAACAAAGAAATTAAATTAAGTTAAGTTAGTAGAGAGAGAGAAAGAGAGGGAAAGAAAGAGTTTGATTTGTGTAATAGGAAAATTGGAATGAATCCATTTCTTTGAATGAAATAATTATAGTGGAAACCATTGAAATGATCTCATCACTTTATTCAAACAACTTGGTAATGGAAAACACGGAATGAATTTGTTTTGACTCAATATGTCCCCCACCTTTTATATAATTAAAGTCTGAATTTTTGAATCCATGTCCAGAAACTGGGGGAGATAATTGAGACTACAATATAAAAGTGGATGCAACTAGAAATGTAGCCAATGGAAACTCACATGAGCAAGTCATGATCAACCAAACAAAGTCCATATTTAAAATATGAACTATTCATATTCCTTTTTTTTTTTTTTTTAATTGGAGGTGTCGGAGTTAGCCTTCGTGTACCTCAACTAATTCCTTAGAACCTTAGAACTACTAGTCTGATAAAAGTTTCAATGGTTATCCTTATTAACAATTGAAAAATGACTCAAACTCATTAAAGTGTCCCTATTGAATCACTCAGTTATCCAGAGGTAGTTTATTCAGATTCATCTTTACTAATCTTAATTTCTAAAAATGTAAAGTATTTATTTAAAGGACAAATTTAGTCATAAAATCACATTATTTGACTTAATATTAAAAATAATTGGAATGCACTGAACTACCAAATCTAGCATAATATAGCATGGCCTAACATGTTTCAATTAAACCATTAAAAACTCACCCGTGGATAGTTATGCACAATCTAGCATAATATAGTGATGGGTTGCTGGCTCGGACACCTCAAATAAATCCTATACATTTTAAGAAAAAAAATGTGATTATTGAGTTAACTTCATATATCTAACCTTAAACTATTGATCCCCATGTATTATTCTTTAACATCCTGATTCTATTGGTTACAAAGTCACTGTACTTGATGCAACGATATTGATATTATGGGATCATTTGTGGAGTTATTATTTATTAACGTCTAATTACAGAGTGTATTCTCCCCTATAAAATAGTACTAGAATCAAAATCTCAGTCAACACCCATGTAGAAATCAAGGAGAAGTTATCACGGTAACTTTCTTTGTATTTATGCGCGTAGAGGAAAATGGTCAAAGCCAAGAGGCCTCCCCAATCGGGTCATTTATTAAAACACCATTTTAACTTAAAATTTAATTAAAAGGCTATAGAGTTTGTAAATTTTAACTAAATGGTCTTGTTTTTTATTAAACCTAATTAAACATAATTATGGAGTTAATTAGGATTAATGAATAATTGTGTAATCTTTTAAAAATTATAATAAGTCTCCAAAGAGTCAAAAATCTTGCAAACAAACCCAAACACCTTCTTCTTCTTCCTCCCGCCATTAAGGCATCCTTCCCCTAGTTTTTGTTTCTTCTAAGCTTTGTCTACATCTTCTTCTTCTTCTGTATGTTCTTCTTCGTCTACATCTTCTTCTTCCTCCGCCATTAACACGTTCTTCTTCCTCTACCATTAACACATTCTTCTTCTTCCGCCATTAACATCTTCTTCGCCAAAGATCTGCCTATTCCTACTCTCAACATTTCATCCAGGGATGTATATCACCTCTTTGCATTTTATATTTCTATTTACAAAGATTTAATGATGGATTGGGTTTAGGTTATGATTTCGATTTAATGGTTTAGGTTCTCGGATTGTGTTTGATGTAATGCAAGTTAAAAGGAGTAAGATTTGTTGATGATTTTCTTGCACTGTGCGTAGTTGGGGGTGGTAGCACCGATTATAGGTGAAGATGACTGAAAATGTATTCTGGAGCTAATGGATCGCTTAAGCGATCTGGTATATCGCTTAAGTGATCTGGTACAAGTCTGATATATAGCAGTAGATCACTTAAGCGATACCAGATCGCTTAAGCGATCTGGTATAAGTCTGACATATGGCAGCATATCGCTTAAGCGATCAGGTATATGGCAGTAGATCGCTTAAGCGATCAGGCTTATTTATACCAGATCGCTTAAGCGATCCAGTAAGCGATACACTATATCGCTTAAACGACTCTGCAAATGTTTTTTAAAATCTATCTAATCCTTAATATATCGGTTAATAACTTATTAGCGATCGCTTATCAAATCTTTTGATATTGTGAATGTTTGAGTAAGAAATTATATTCCGTAATGTTTATTTAATATTTAGTCATTTTTTATTAATTATTAATTATTATTAATTATCTTTTTCAATTCAATAGAATGTGAAAAGAACACTTCGGTCTTTGTCGATTAACACCGTACATAAAACCGAAAGATCTATTGTTATTCTATTATTTTTGTTAGTTCTTGGCAAGAAAGTAATATATAAAAAATATAATATTGATATAAAATTGAACTCTGCAACCATCTGCTATGCACTCTGTAGACCAAGACTAAATAGACGGGATCGCTTAAGCGATTGAGGGTAATTTACTTCAATATTTCTTTTCCATGTTTATGGACATATGTTTAATATAGACGTAAAAGAACTCATTTAATTAAAATATAATAACGGTCATGGTCCACTGAACGAATCGTACACCTGATATGTTTAATATAGACGTAAACATTCTACACCATATATGTTTAATATAGCCGTAAAAGAACTAATTTAATTAAAATATAATAATGGTCATTGTTCACTGAATGAATCGTACACCTTATATGTCTAAGATAGCGTTAATCGCTTAACCAATCTAGTGAAATACAATAAAAATAATCCAAATACACTGGATCGCTTAAGAGATTTCATTTCTCGCTTAAGCGATCCTGTGTATTTAGACTTAGTCGTTTAAGAGATCTGGTTGTATTTATGTTATCGCTTAAGTGATTCTATGCTTTTACACTTGGTCGCTTAAGCGATCATAGATCGCTTAAGCAATCACGAACAAGACAGAATCAATAAGTGTTCAGACGCACGATCGCTTAAGCGATCCTTTGCTTTTAACCTTGGTTGCTTAAGTATCGCTTAAACGATTACAAATCGCTTAAGCGATCATGTTCGAGGCAGAATAAACTTCTACCTAGATGCACAATCGCTTAAGCGATTAAGTGTATCGCTTAAGCGATTCTTCGCTTTTACTATTGGTCGCTTAAGCGATCTACGATCGTTTAAGCGATCATGAACAAGACAATAAATAAGTGCCTAGACGCAGGATCGCTTAAGCGATTCTTCGCTTTTACTGTTGGTAGCGATCATGAACAAGACAATAAATAAGTGTCCAGAAGCATGATCGCTTAAGCGATCCTTTGCTTTTAATGTTGGTCGCTTCAAGCGATTTATAATTGCTTAAGCGATCATGTCCGAGGCAGAATCAACTTCTGCCCAGATGCACGATCGCTTAAGCGATCCTTTGCTTTTACTCTTGGTCGCTTAAGCGATTTTAGATCGCTTAAACGATCATGTCCGACGCTTGGAATTTGCGTCGGCATCCTCCTCTTCAGTTTCAATTTGAACTCTTGCCCTCCCTTGTTCCGCCAATAGAATGTCTTCCATCGACGTTGTCTCCTCTCCTGGTGGAGCAACTTCAGTCATCGAAAGTTACTCCACCACAACTTCTTCTTCTCCATTTTTGGTAGACCCAATGGTGCCTACAATTTAGGGAGTAGATGGGTTTTTTCTGTTTCTTTAAGGATCTCATCCATTATAACTTAATCGGGAATTACAAGGAATGACAAAAATGTAAAGAGCAAAGAAATTGAGAAATTGTAGAAAATTGGAAGAAAAAACGAGAGAGAGAAAGGTGTTTGAATCCTGTTGTGAGAAAGAGAAGCTGAGAGAAATGTGTTTTNCCAGGGTGGTGTTTGCCATAGGCACTCCGACGCTCAAGTCAGCGAGGCTGAAAGAGATTATTTGATAAGAATTAAGGAGATGAAGAATTACCAGGAGTCTTGTCGGAGACTAGGACTACGGCGGAGACGTCGGGGTTCTTAGAAGCAAGAACTTAGGAGCAAATAAATGGTTTTGAGTAGTCTAGATTGACTATGGGAGATTGCCCCTTAATGAGAGGGCAAGCCTATATTTTTATAGTGAACCCAACAGGTTGGAATCCTGGTAGAACATTGAGTCCTCTTTTTTGGGAGATAATCCCTATCAAGAAAGCAATATAAATCTTGGCCTTATCAGATTAAGTTTAATAGTTTAAGTAATGTTTGAAATCTTATTAGGACACTAAGTCTTATTTTGGGAGATAATCTCTATCATGAAAGAGATATTATTTCTTGACCTTATCAAAGTAAGTTTAATAGTTTGAGTAAGATTTAGAATCTTAGTAGAAGAGGAAATGGAGTGGGATTCTGATTTCCTATTCATGGACTGTTGCAGGCTAATGGGCTGAAATCCACTTTAGCTTAACTTATAGAATAGCCTAACTAGTAGAGTGGGTAGTTCGCAAGGTGATTTTAAACATAGGCCTGATCGAGATTAGGTTGAGACCTTAGGTCGTGACATGTTTATTTCGTTATTAGGCCTCATCAAGCCCAAGACGATTTTTGGCCCCTAACAAAAATCACATTATTTGACTATTAAAAATAATTGGAATTCACTAAACTACCAAGTCTAGCATAATATGTTTTAATTAAACTTTTAAAAACTCTCGCGTGGGTAGCTGTGCATAACCTTTTTAGTTCACCTTTACCGTTGGATCCCATGAGTTACCTGGGGGCCGCAATAGTGATGGGTTGCTGGCTCGGACACCTCAAATAAATCCTATGCATTTTAAGAAAAAAATGTGATTATTGACTTAACTTCATATATCTAACCCCTTAAACTATTGATACCCATGTATTATTCTTTAACATCCTGATTCTATTGGTTACAAAGTCACTGTGATGCAACGATATTGATATTATGGAATCATTTGTTGGG